CATAAATATTGATTTCTATTAATTAAAAAATGGCAAGTTATCGGTTGTATCACGGCTCAAAAACGAACATTTTGTGGAGTTGATGGGGTACTGCTTGGAAGCAAATAATCGCATTCTCATCTACGAGTTCGCAACCAAAGGCTCTTTACACGATGTATTACACGGTACATAAACAAATTCAACTCTCACTACTCATGTTTTAGTTCATGGCCATCTACTATATATGTAATGGATCAAATTTTAGGGAGAAAGGGAGTCCAAGGGGCTGAGCCAGGGCCAGTGCTGAACTGGAACCAAAGGGTCAAGATTGCGTATGGAGCAGCAAAGGGGATGGAGTTCCTTCACGAGAAGGTCCAACCACCAATAGTCCACAGGGACGTAAGGTCGAGCAACGTCTTGTTGTTTAATGACTTTGTGGCTAAAATGGCTGATTTCAACTTGACCAATGCATCCTCTGATACCGCGGCGAGGCTTCACTCTACTCGTGTCTTGGGAACGTTCGGCTATCACGCTCCAGAGTATTGTTACCATAAACCCATTCATCCAATATCTTTATAGCATCTCATATATAATGTATTTGCATGCATATTTTAACAATCAGAATGTTTTGATAACGTATAGAGTATTATTGTTTTCAGGTATGCTATGACAGGACAGATAACACAGAAGAGTGATGTGTATAGTTTTGGTGTTGTGCTTTTAGAACTCTTGACGGGAAGAAAACCAGTAGATCATACCATGCCTAAAGGCCAACAAAGTCTTGTTACTTGGGTGTGTACATAGACATTATCAAAGTGCATTTTTTCAAAAGAGGTCCATATCTATCATTGTTAATAATTAACTCTTTCACTTTTTGTCTGGCTTTGGCAGGCAACTCCGAGACTAAGTGAAGACAAAGTTAAACAATGCATAGATCCTAAGCTTAACAATGACTTCCCTCCCAAAGCAGTCGCCAAGGTCCGTTCTCTGACTCATATTGAATACTAACTAGGGACATTAATTTTAAGTTGATGACGTATTAAGGATGTTTGATTTGGTTTGGTTTTGAAATGTTGACTTTTCATTGTGGGTGGGTTGGACAGTTGGCAGCCGTGGCGGCATTGTGTGTACAGTACGAGGCAGACTTCAGACCAAACATGACAATTGTTGTCAAGGCACTTCAGCCTCTTCTTAACTCTAAACCGGCTGGTCCTGAGTCTACTTCCTAAATAACCAATTCTCTTGTTTTTGTTGTTGTTGTTGTTATTCTTATGGCTCTTTTCTGTGTTACTGTGATTATTGGTTATAAGATGTTGTTACTTAAATGGAATGTAACTTATAATTTTCATTGGTTTAAAACACTCTTCTCCTTTTTGGTTGCCAGCAAGAAATAGTAAATCAGCTGCCAGATTTAAATTAAAGAAAGATGTTTGATGTAACATAAAAAGAATCTCAACACATAAGATGACCAATACTTCTTCTCTGAACATAATCTATTCTTTGGAGAACTTAAAGAACAGCAAGGTAAAGTCCTTGTTCATCAACAAACTGTGTATAAAAAAAGTAAGAAACAGAGTACGCTCTGTAAGTAGATACATTAGACTGTTTAGGAGAAAGGATGTGAGCTGAGATAAGGAAGCCCCTAAGGCTCATTAATGTTTTGGGTAGCAATGGTGTAGCGACGGTGGAGCATGTTCAGGGAAGAGAGCAGGTGATCGGCGATTGAGAGAGATGGGAACGAGAAAAGTAGAGGCGTGGGAATATTGATTATGATCCGACAATGAATCGTGGTCTTGGTTCTGCTCGGTGTCCGCATTGTCTTTCTCTCTTAAACCCTAGTTCAGTGAGCTGCCAATGTTTTTTTTCAGCGTCTTTTTGAGTTATGATATTGTCTGAAAATCAGTTTGTTTATTGTTCTTGTCATCAGGAGAAACGAGAGTGGACCATCACTTCAGTTCTGCATGATGCTGCTGCTGTGGTCAGTTTTAGCAATTACTATCTCATAACATTTATTTAGAACTTGTACTACAATGTTTCTAAACTAAGTTATCTCATGTGCTATAGGCTGGTTCTGGTATTGGTGGCTTGCTCAGTGCCGTCCATGTTTTCAATACAGGTATCACATGATTCTCTCTTGTGCTTAATTACATACCATTTCTACAATGGATCTCATCTCTTTTGTCTTTCAGGGATCCACTATCTTCAAATTCGGTTTCCAGGGTCAAGGCGGTTCTCCTTTCTTGTGGGATGCATATATTTTCTCTTGCCTTGTCTCCCAGTTCTGGACTTCTATTATTAGTTACTAGAAATCTCTGTTTTATATTACCTTGAAAAACTTATATTATGTGCTGAGTTAGCGTAGTTAGTGAGGCTGCTGGTAGAATAATTTCCTATCTACTAAGTGGTACTGAGTAGGCATTTGTTTGTATCTCCATCTTGACAATGATTACTAACACTATCGTCCTGGTTCATTTTACAAGCAGTCATGTAACTACAGGAACAATGTATTTACAGTGGCTACCTTGTACATATGAATCCTACTTTCGTCATGAATTTTGATATGTCTTTTCTGAAACCTGACTTAACACTATTTGTAAGTGGATGTTGAAAATTAGTATAGTATTAAGCAAGCAGAGCTAAAGGACTAACAACATGGTCTATATAGATAGGGTCGGTGCAACTTTATGGTTAAGCTTTGGTTACCAAAACAAGACCACGGTTTTGGAAGGTTGCATCCTTCGTGTGAATCAGATTGTGGGTTGTATACTGAAAGGTGTGTTGAGATGTGTACAGTTAGAACTATCATCATCCTCAAGTTGCAACTTTCCTAGGGTTGTGGGCCGATGTTCCTTAAATTCTACTAGTCCTTTTACATATCTTAAAAAAAAAAAAAAAGAGACAAGTGAGCAGAAAGTGGTCCTAAGGTATTTACATAATGTATGTGTATGCTCTTCACACGTCTTTATTATGTGCTTCTTTTATCACATGCTTTCCTTCTACATTGCATTAACTTTGGTGGGGTCTTTTTCTAGCTGCTCTTGATGTTAACTCTTTGACACCGTATATCCTTAAATTTTCCATTATTTGATAAAACCATCACGTAATTCTCAGATGTACTGTGTTCTCTGGTTTAGCCTCTCTGCAGCTTTGTTATCCAAACAACTGTCTTGACTAGGGCATATATGTCTTTTTCCCCATGTGTATGTAATTGCATCCACTTTGTTCAAAAACAATCCATAAGACTTAGCTGAAAAATCTTTATTACAGGCTGATGAGTTTTGCAATGTTTTGGTCATTTGTTAACACAATAATATGTTTAGACTTTAGCTTGGGTTGTTAAACGTTACATGATTAGTTAGATATTACCAAATCATGCATGCTACAACGTTTCTATAATTAACTAGAGAAGATTACCATATTAAAGACATAATCAATCACAGTTGTTGTCTCTACAAGACTTCTAATTAAACTGCATTTTTGCCTCAGTAGTCAGTAATATCTAAAGATGTTGTTTTGGGGATAATTACCCTTTTTATATCCTTTCCTAGAAGACGCGATCAAGTGAGATTAGTTGTCTCTTAGCCTTTATATATTGGTTAGCGTTGGTATGATATGCACCAGTGGTAATTATAATCCAAGCAGGCATCATTAGTTGTTGCAAAAATTCTAATTGTGGTTTATATGTGCGAGGCAACTGTGATTGAAGTCATGCCAAAGCTACAAAAGTCAAGCTCCTGAACTTCTTGGTCTAAGAAACAAAAAGTCGTACATATATACATGAGGTTGTCTTTAATGTTTGTTTAGTGTAACACATGGAGGTCATATGTTAGGTACGAGGATTGACATCATTGCTTCTTCTAAGGAGATGTGAGATTAATAACTTATGATTCTTGTAGGCATTTGTTACTGTATATCAAACTCTAATATCTGGAGGCAATTAGCAAGAAACATGGTCATGTTATTGAAGTCAGTGGAGTTAATGATCATGGTGTATGTGTATAGTATGAACTTAAGTAACAATATTGGTAGACAGCTTGGTTGATGATTCTCTTTGAAATGCCCCAAAAAAAGTCTGAAAAGAAACTAAAGAAGAAAGCTTTTGAGGAAAGGCTTTAGGTTCTGTGTGTTGAGATGTGAAAGCTCTTGGCTCTAACTCTACATTTGTAACATGGACCACTTTCACTTCTCAACTCTCTTTCTCTCTCTCCTCTTTTGTCTTGTCCATTGTCTTCAGTGATCCCCACATTCACCGAATCATCATGCATCATTAACATCAAGAGCTTTCTTTCTTTGGCTCTTGATTCGGTAAAAGACCGTTTGGTAAAACATAGACTGTGAACGTTTGGATCTAAAGAGATTTTTGAGTGTTTTAATGGTTTAAAAAGACAATACAATTTGACGGAATGACACATATTGATCGAGACTTGAATTTTCTTGACTGCTACAACAGAGAAAGTACGTGCTTATGTATGACTTCCATGGCTCTTAATTTAATGTTCCTCTTTATCTAAACGTTAGATTCTTTGAAGCCATATAACATAATTCAGAAATGAACAGACGATTTTTTGGGGATAAATGTATCATTCAGACCATGTGTTCTAATCGATTTAATTTATTTTTTTAAACACTGATTTAATATATTATACTGTTACATTTAGCATACGATTACAATTTGAAAATGTTTAGACCACCTAAATAATAATTTAAGTTTCATGTTAAACTTGTTAGGTGCTAGATGTTGTATCACCGTCAGATTTAGCGTTTATTGATTTCTTGAACACTGATTCAAATGAAAATGCATGAACAAATTATACTAATTGAATCAAATATTATTCCCTTAATAATATTAATTAGATAAAAAAATATAAACTCAAAGTTTCAAGATCTACACATAATAATAGTGGTTCTCCTTAGTTTTCTGTTCCTTTTTTCTCCAAGACTCACAGAAGAAATGGTTTTACCGTTCGAACAAAGTCTCATCACGGCTAAAAGTTAAAATAATGGATACCAAAAAAGAAGTGTCAAAGATGAAGATCGAGACTCACATTATCTTGCACATTAGGTTTCATCAATCTGTACGGCCGGTTAGTCTCTTTAAGCTCCTGCTCATGCGTCCTAAACGCTGAAGCTGAGTAAACGCCATGAACAGCGTTTGCTGACGTGGAAGGTGGTGGTACACGCCACAAACCCAAAGGACTTCCGTTGATCGTCGGTGGGTTAGAAGAAGAAGAAGGAGGAGGAGGAAGAAGAGTGCGTGATGAGTAATACGACGGCGTTTGTTGTCCTCCTACTCCACCACCGTAGAATCTAGCTTCTGGCGTCCACGTGGGATAGTGACGGTGGTTGTTGTTGAGGAAGCCGTAGACGTGGTGAGAGTCAGCTTGAAGAAGGTATGATGGCATAGAACCGCGTTTGGCGTGTTGGCGTTCGCGTTTATGAGCGTTTTGGTGTCCACCTAGGGCTTGAGAAGTTGGGAAGTTTCTGAAACAGTAGTGACACTCGAATCTCCTGTTATTGTTGTTGTCTTTCTCTTTGTCCTTGTCCTTAACATTCTCAGTGCTCTCGTCGTTGATCTTGGTTGTTGTGGTCTCAAGGAAGTCTTCTTGATGAGCAGCGGAGGAGTTGTCGTCACCACCGACGAGTTCTTGGCCGAAGAGACGAATGATGGAGCTTTTTTCTTTGGGAGGAGTGCGGCGGATGAAAGGAAGCTGAGAGAAAGATTCAACGTTGACGTTCATGAAGTCGTGAGTTTCTCTTCTTCCATTGGTTTCATCCATGGAAGCAAGAGAGAGAGAGGAATGAATATGAGGTTGACTGTTTCAGAGACAGAAAGACAAGAGATGAGGTTTTGCATTAATATAAAGAAGTTTTCTAAAATTCTCTCTTATTAAGGTAATTGACTGTTGTTTTACCCCGTGGGTATATTGCAAATTACTTTTTATCCAGCATTCACATCACTCTCATGCAATGTTTTAAAAATCGGTTTAGGCGGAGCCTAAGCACCCACCTAGGCACAACTCCCTTCTTACTGAAACGATTTTCTTAAAATCTCATTTATATGACTAAAGTCGATTTAGACTATTTTAAATCGGTTTAAACTATTCTAAAACGGTTATAATCAGTTTAAATTAGTACAAATCTGTTAAATTAAGTAATAATATTAGTAAAGAATTACAAATTTGTGTAATTTATTTTATTTTGTATATCTAATTTTGTTATTCATTAAAATAAAATTATAATTAAACCAAAAAACTAAAATAGTTTATACAAATTTTAAACATATAGAAAATAAACTAATAATTCGTTAACGCCTAATCTCCGCCTAGATCCTGAATAATTCGTCTAGACGCTAATCCTCTATATAACGCCTAATTACCGCCTAGCAATTTTTTAGAACATTGGTCTCATATTTTATCTGTTATTTTTTCTTTAAAGAATCATAATCCTTCCCATTATTATTATTTAAAATTTATTTCATTTTAACTGTTTTATGTTTTCAATATATTTATTTGATAGTTCTCTAATTCAAACCATATTTTTAACTCATCAATTAGCATAATTAAAATAATATATTAATTAGAAGTAAAACATGTAATTTAATGATACATCTTAATATGTGTAAGAAAATTAGTACGTCATATAAAATGAAACGGAGGAAATACATGTTAGTTTTTTATAATTGCCAGAAAATCCAGAAGAACAGTTCAAATTAATAATTTCTCCTTTGTCAAAATTATCTCTCTTTTTTTTATTTTTATTAGTTGTTTCTTAAAAGTGATTCGAGCAAATGTTGATACTAAAAGGAAAAAGCTTACCAAATTTATCGTTAGCAGATGAAATGGGGGTCATGGTCACTAATGGGATGAACTTATAAAGAGGGAGAGTTCGTAGGTATAAAGAGATCATTAGCATGGTGAAGTTAACTATAAGTACTCTTTTACACCATGACCTAGCTATTTGGTTATTATGTCTACGTATAAGTACATGAATTTTACTACTAATAGACTAATTATACAGAGAAAATTGACAGATATCTAATTAAAGAAAAATTTATCTCTCACTCAAGGACCAGATTTTTATTCTCTAGGCGATGTTTTGTCTCACTGGTGCAAAGATAATCTTACAAGAAAGAGAGGGAGGTGGTCCTTGGACATGCATTATCATTGAATGATACTAATAATTAATCATTTTGTCTCTGTCATCACCAGATAATTAAACATTATTTTGAACCTTGGTTTGTAGAGTTCTCACCCTATCATCATCAGTGTAATCTATTGATGATACTTACCAACTCGAACACCCGCCAAGATTTGATCCACGTCTTCTTTATTTGTTTACCCAAAAAAACTATATATTCCCTTTATGTATTTGTTACACACACTAAATTTCGATATTTTCAGAAAATTAGTTTTATATTAAGAATATCCAATTTTTAATTCCAGTTTGATAATTAATCTAGTGTTTTTTTTTTAACTTAATCTAGTGTTGTTACGTGGACAAAACAAAGTTTGTTACTAGTTTTGATATTAAAAACGCATGAACGATAGCAACAAACAAATAGAGAAGAACGATTATCCAAGAAAAAAGAGTTACACGTTTTTCCATAAAGAAATCGGCATATGGATCATCTAGTTGTTCTATATATACTCCAATATGGATCATTCATTTGTTGATAGCTAAACTATTCCTTTTTGGTCAACAGATGATATTCTCTCTTTTTTTTGGTCATCATGAAACTATTCTCTTATAAAGAATCACTAATAGATTTTTCAACTAAGTGATGTAAGCGTTTAAGAAAAAATTGTTCTTATTTTCAAAATTGTTTCAGAAGGATTACCATACGTACAGTGGTTGTTTTAGAGTGACTTCCTTGCACAAATTCACTGATTCACATAAAGTTTATGTGATGTGCGACTAATCAAAACGTATTGTAAGAACGGAAATTAATTCAACTATGGTAATGTCCATGCCAAGTACTGGTCCCAAAGTACATTATTTTAGATACATAATTTAGCAGATTTTGGACTTCACATGAGGAGTCCACATCTCTTTATTTTCCACAAATAAACCTAACATGCGATTTAAAATTAAAAACCATATCAGAGAATTATATCCCGAGGAAAATCATCATAAGTGATTTAAGCGCTGATATCATTTCTGTATTCTATAATAAGGAAAACACTTTTTTTTTACAACCAAGAATATATATGTTAAGAATATGTGTACCAAAGACGCTCTGAGATTATGTAGAATATTTGGATCTGGATAGTTTCTTTGTTCCTAACTCTTAATTAGTATCCACCATAATTTTAAAGCTCATGCAATAGAAAATTATTAAGAAAACACAAACATGACTATATAGTATATCTAGAGCAAGAACTTAATTATATAATAAATACGTATAACCAATCTTTTTCTTTTGTTGTAACACTGGGTATAAAACAATCTGAAAATAAGTCACCAAAAAACAAATCTGAGAAAATGTAATCGGGTCCCAATGGCATTTTGAACCCCACAAAAAACATGCACTTAAAAGCCCACAAATCTCCCAAACCCTAACAGCAACTCTTCATTGAATCATGCAATTGCAAACCTCTTTGCTTTGCCATTAAAGTCACAGTCATATGCTCAGAGATTTAATGGCCTTTGTTGAGGGGACCATATCTCTCACTTTCTTGCCTTCACTTCTTGGATTCAACTCCTCCACTCTCATATACATATATGTAGCAAATTCCCTCTATATTAAATTTATCTCAAATAAATTTGGTGAATTGTGTGGCCAGTAATAAATAAAGATCATAAATATGGAAGATGAGAAAAGGAGTTTAGATTTTGAGGGACAAGCATATCTTGTCCTATCCCTTTGTATGTGACCTCACAATGTTCAGCTATATATAAGGACCGAACTTCAAAGTAATATAGAAATACATGGTGAAAGATATTTTAGTTTAAGTAGAAGAATACAGAAAATAAGAATGATATATATGAACCTCGAAATTAAAAGCTATAGAAAAAGAAGCTATGGAACAAATGCAAGTGGAGTTAAAAACAACATGAAGACCTCAGGGGTCTCTTTCAGTGATAAACCATCTATTCCAAATCACCACTTCATCGAATTCACCAAACTCATTATTAGTTTTATACAAAAATGCAACGATCAATTAATATCCCATGGTATGATCTTCATCACACATTACAACGGACATGTTTTGCTAGTATTTTTTTTTGCTTAAACATGTTTTGTTAGTAATTGAAAACGAGTTTCCGTTTAACCAACTTTATGTATTTTTACTAACTAGAAATACCTTTCTTAGTTTCAAAAAAAAAAACCGAAATACCTTTCTAAAATATTAGAAAAATATTAACAAATGCAGAAACATGTGTATGAACAAGCTTACTGAGTTAGACGGGCTTGGGATGCTAACATGTTTCAGGTTCGATTTTCCTATTGCGTGAAATTAAGTCATATTGTTCTATTCACTTAACGTGTATATAGATAGCCTTGAAAAAAGAATCCATCCGTGGGTTTACGACACCCCTGGATTTAACCAGATAAAAAAAAAATTAGTAAAAAAAAAACAAGCTTACTGAGTTTAAAACTTGCCGACAGTTCTACAAATCAGCAATAATCAACGTATTATTTTCTAAATTCGGCAACGTATCAACCTAGCTTTATTCTTACTCGTTAGAACTCCCACGATAACGTTTAAAATTGCACGCTTCATTGTTTGGAAATTATATAATCGTTAGTTTCAGAACGTGTAAGAGAGTCGGATCGATCAAGATTAGTGAGAATAAATATTTACTACAAAGAAAATAGAGTTAGAAAATAAGCGTTAGGTTAAAAACATGATTGAGTGAGTAATATTTCAGTACAGGCAGTGACAACAACACTTGAGAAATGGGCTCTCTCAACTCTGTCTATGTAAGTGAAATGTCAATAAGCACATACATACATACAAATGTGAAATGTGTATTATTATAGGCTTTGGGATCTCTAGAGCTTTTGGTAGGTTTGTGATTATCATTATTGTCTGAAACTGATATGGGTCTTGTTTCTTTTATTTGGACCACCATTTATGAATATTCCTATATATAAAATATAGTGAAAGCATCTTTTCAGATATTGGTTTAACAATGTATGTGGGGAACTTTCTCTACATTATGTGATATGTCTCCGACCCTCTTGTCAATTTTCTTTCTAAAACAAACAAATTTGAAGAAGGAAACATAAACTCTTATAATGATTTGTGTTTTAATATTAGAACCCTCGTGCGTCAAAAATGAGTCACGTATACAAAACTATATGTCCCTTTTATTGCTTGAAATATTCATCGGCTAGGTACTCAAAACATTATTAAACAAAAAAAGTTGTTCCTTCGATGTTGGTGATTCTATACCACCACTAAGCATTTCGATGGGCCAATCCTTAAATGGGCCTTATGTAAACCCATGTGTTATATTGAGCATTAACATTAACTGGAAAACAAAAATTCGAAAAACTGAAAATATACTCATATGTCATATCGATTCAACATACAATTTGACAATTTCCAAAATTAACATTTTTGACAGAGTAGTAACAGCGGTAAGTTCAGGAAACTACTGAAATGGGAACAAAATCAGATCTTGTGGGGTCTAGGAGGCAGAATCTTCACCTTTAGGGGTTTCTTCAAAACTCTCTTAAACTTCGAGGACTTGGATGAGATAACCTTCAACTCCAGTGACTTCTTTGCAATATCTTCAAACCTCGACGGTGGTTTCCTAACCCTCAACCCCACCCGCCTCCTCTCTCCGCCGCCGCCACCGTCACCATCCACCTTCCCCTCTCCTTTCAAAAACGGATGCAACAACAACTCAGAAGCACTTCCTCTCTCTTCAGCCTTTCTTGCGAAACACTTCTCCACAAACTTCCTTGCATCACAAGGCACACTCTCTGGAATCTCCGGCGCCTTCCCACACAACAAACGAGACTTTATATCATCAACACCAGCCCCCAACCATGGATGCTTACCTAAAAACATCTCCAACACCACACAACCTAACGACCACAAATCTAGGGTTTTCTCCACGGTGGTTCCGTCCCGAACTGACTCCGGCGACATGTATAACGGCGTTCCGACGAACGGTGCTTCAGTTTCCCAACAAACAGACTCCTCTCCTGCCTTTATCGTCAATCCAAAATCCGAAATCTTTAACTCGTGCGAACATAACCTAGTTTCTTGATCTTGACGCGGGAAGAGAAGGAGATTCTCCGGTTTAAGATCGCAATGTACATAACCGCGTCCATGAACCGAAACCAACCCTTGGAGAAGCATACGAGTGAAGTCTTTAACGATCGTATCCGATAGCTTTCGGTTTACGCGGATGAACTCTGTTAGGTTACCACCAGCTGCGTACTCGATGGCCATCTTGTAGACTTTCTTTCCATTAGAATCGGTTTCTTGAATCAGAGAGTTACCAAAAGACTGCACGATTCCTTGACATCCTCTGAGTTTCTTGAGAACTCTAAACTCTCTTTTGATAGAGTTGTCGTCTTGAGAATGATCAGAGATCTTCACGGCGTTGTAGAACATTGTGCCGTCTTGTTTCGTGTAACTGAAGAGATCTACGGAGCCGTACGTGCCTTTTCCTAGAGACTTGACGAACTTCATCTCTGGTTTGTTTTTGTGATGACGCATTGTGTCTCGCCAAGTGGTTTTTGCTCTGATCGATCTTTATGATCTTGTTAGTGTAATGCAGTATTTATAAACTATGAGACTGGTTAGAAAGGAAAATGAAACCCTAATTTGATTTGTTGAGAAACGAAAAAAGGAAATATTGAGTACCTTTCTAGAAGATGATAACGTTAAAATCCTCAGATAAAAATATATCACTACGTTTGTACGTTGAGTCGAATGATATTGTGATTGAAATATTATTATGCATATAATTTTAGCTCCTAACCAGCTAATGCAATTGAAATACTATCCATCATGCAAATTACAGGAACGAAAAATTTATGGTGCATAAAATGGCGTATAATATATAGAAAAAAGGAAGAGAAGAACGTATAATTTTTATTAATCAGCATTACATAAAGTTTTATCTGACCATAATCAAAAGTATTTCGTCTTCCGTCTTATTCAATTTGCCTGTCTAAAACCACGTACAAAATTGGACATGGGCATCAATTTGTTTTTCTTTTTTTTTGTATAAGATTATTTTAGTTCAAGTAATAGGTGAAGAGAGACACAAGGGAAGCTCCAACCAATGAGCCAAGAGCCGGTACGGCTACGGAGGCTCCGCTTGAGGCGGGTCCTGGTGCAGGAGCTCCAACCTCTGTAGCCATGACGGCGGTCATGGAGGCAGCAGCGAAAAGAACTCCGCAGGCAATCTTCTTCATCTCCATTTCTAGTTGTTGAGACCTGAAAGGTTTTTTTTTCCTTTTTTTTTTGCTAGTTTTGTTACTTTTTAAATTTTTGTTTCTTGCAGGTCTGAAGAGAATTAGATGGTGTTCAATGGGATTTTATACGCGAGGTAGTTAAGCTATATTTAGGGAAGTTTATTTTAGGCATCGATTTGTAACCAAATATTTGGAAATTACATCAATAATGTAAGTTCAGGATACTAATCACCGCTGAATTTGTATGCCATTGTGTGGCTTTGAGTAATTTCAGAGTTTCCAACCTTTTATATTTTACCGGGTCAAATGTATTTTTCTTAAGTTAGTAACTCTATTTAATTTATTTACAAACATTTAACCAACATAATGCATACTTTTATTTATGAAAACACACTAAACAACAAATAAAAGATATAAGCATACTTGTAACCAAAATTAGCAGATTGGACTAAATGTATATGTTATATAATGGAAGAGGTATTAGGTGTACATTCATTGCATTGGTGTTGGGCCTGTCTGTGATGTGATCCTGTAACAATCCTCTTTGCTTATAGCTTAAGATGTTCCTTTTTGTGTAACACTTAGCTTAAGATGCTCTAAAATATTAATAATATCATTGAACTGCTATTAATAGGCCTTTGAACTCTGACCTTAACTCACATTTTAAGCACGACGATATTAACCAGAAGCTAAATACAGTTAAACCTCTATAAATTAATAATGTTGGGAATACACCAAAACTATAATTTTTTATTAATTTATAGAGATTATTAATTTATCGATATACTAATTGAACCTAAAACACAATTTGGGACTGAAAAATTATATTAATTTATAGAGATTTTTAGTGTATATTAATTTATCGATTATTAATTTATAGAGGTTCTACTGTATCTGAGAGCATTTTCATTTTTCAATTCCATCCCGATCCTGCTATCTGGAGGAGCAATATAAGCTGGCTCGTCTCTGAGAAAAGAAACCGCTGAGATATGCTAATTATACACTAATTAATAGGGTCAAAGAGCTTCACTTATTCCATAAATTGTATCTTATGGGCTTTGATCTAATCATGTTATTAGCGTAGGAAGTGTGAGCTGCATGTATTGTATTGGTTTTTTAAATTCTTTTGAATGTTTTAAATGAATCGCATGGGTCTTGTGAGGCCATTGTTTTCATTACGTTTTCTTATCTATAAATCCCTCAGAGAGGTCTAAGCCCATTAAGCATACAGTTTGTGTGTTCAATTGGTTAGAGCAATTTTTTTATTTTTGTGAAAAAAATTGATTTAGATCTACGTTTGAGATTTATGTAAATTTATTCTGTCCGATTTACGTTTTAGATTTTTATGTAATTAGTTTGTTCTCGGTCTAAAAATTTTATATCTCAAACCTAAACTTTGCAGTAAAATGGATTTTGCTGGTTTTAATTTTGTTGATGAATAACAATAAAGTGATCAAATCTGAAGACTTGTGGAACAAAATAAAGATAGAAATACAAAGAGAATAATTAGAAGCAGAAAGAAGAATGAATTAGCTTCTGCTGATATGCTTTTTCTTCTTTACCCTACTTTTTCCGTGTATGCTTCTTTTTTTTGCCCTTTGGTTTTGATTAAAGCTGCGATCAAATCAGCTTTTTCTTTTCTTTTAAATTCAGGGATAGATTGATGAATAAATTCTTGAAACATAAGAAAATATTTAAAATGATTCTTGAGTATAATATATTCTCAATAGGTTTGGTGTTATCTTGAATAAGATACTCCGCATAAGATTTGTGCTTTGTGTTTGATGATCACATCACCACAAAGCTTTTGGTAAGTAAAATATTAATGGGAATATAAAAGGTGATAAAGAAAATCACTTAGGAACAAACATATGCACCGAAAGTTGATCATTGAAAGGTGACGATCAACTGTTTTTGTTCTTTTCCATAGAACTATTTGATCTCTTTACTTTAAATTATAAGAAGAAAAAAAAGTATTACCAACAAAAGTAAATAAATGTTGCACCATACTCTATGGCAAAAGAAGACCCACAAAAAATATATTCGCACTAATCTTGGTTTCTTCTTCTTTTTTTCTGATCAAAGAATAATGATAAGAATGAGTTCGAAGAGAACAGTCACGTGAGCTCGAGAACTCCAAATCGGTTGCACCAAGGAGAGAAAGAGGTTCATAATTTTTTAGATTTAGATATTAAGAATTGCTGAATATTAAATCAACCCACCAGGACACCACCACCACACAAAAGCTAAATTTGTATATTCCAAAGAAAAAGATGTGGTTGATCAGTTTTATCAAGATTGATAGATGACAAGAACTTAACTAAAGATGTATATAATATCACTTTCACTTGCCCAATAAACCACATCCACATCTCAAAGAAAATCCAAAACAAACCCTTTATGGATTTGCCCCCACTCAACTCTTACCCGACATAAATATATTTATTTATTGCACTAATGCTCAAAATGAATATCTCTAGATATTGAATCATTTGAAGGTAAATACACATACAAGAATATGTTTTTCAAAAATAATTAAAAAGGGATAAATAAGATAAACCAAAGATTAAATATTATAGAATTTAATTTCAGGGTTCTCAACATATAAAAGATAACAAATACTCATACAATAAATAAAAATAATAATCATGATAATGGGAGAATATCCTAAAAATAAATATGAAAACGGGAGAAAGAAAACCAATAAGTTTTTATTTTTTCTTCTCCTTCCTTCCCATAAAGCCTTTTTCTTGTTTTGTTGTTCCCTTCTCTTCTCTAAAAATTTGTGAAAATTAATTTGACCAAAAACATAGAAAATCATCTTCCTTCTTTTGTTAATCTTGTTACCACCTCTACCACCTGTAAACAAAAATAGAGGTTCATATATCTACCAACCACAGAGAGAAGAGACCATAACAAGAAAAAAGTGAAGTTCTTAAGTTTTATTAACCTCTCAATTCTGCTGAGCTACGAACTGATCGAGCTGCATTTGCTCAATCCAAGCTTCAAGTCCAGCATGATCCATTACCATTTCAGACGTTGTAGTTGTTGGCTGCATTGTGTTAGACGAGGTAGCAGCTGCTTTCTCATTGGCCTCTGTTGGATTCTCCTTCACCAGTGACTGAACCCATGAAACATCAGGCTCACCAAGTGCTGCCTCTGAGCTCATTCCCCAATCCGGTTTACCATTTGATGAACCCCACTGTGATGACCACGAGTTGTTATTATTGTTGTTATTAACCGGTGAACCAACGATAGGGCTAGAGTTTGTTCTAAGCTGCTCCCTGGATCTCAAGCTACGGAACTGATTCTGCTGCTGCTGCTGCTGCTGTTGCTGTTGTTGCTGCTGCTGCTGCTTCACACATTGAGCCAACATGGAGACGCGAGAACTCATTGGTGATATTGGCTCAACAACATTCCGAGGAGACATCCTTCCTCCTCCTGAAAACAAAGAGTGATCCACACTCTTTGGTGAAGAGTAGCTTGTGTTGATAGGAGACAACATCCCCTGCTGCTGCTGCTGTTGCTGCTGGAACTGGTTGAACACAGCTGACTTATGCGTAGGCGAGAAAACACCAGACCCCAAAGCCGAATCATTAAACCGAGGAGACGAGGAAGAGCCACCACCTTCCGCTGAGAAAAGATCTTCAAGATTCGAAGGAGGCAACGATTTCATCCGACCAGACCTGCTCAACGAACTGTTGAACTCGTTGAGAAGCTGCTGCTGCTCATACTCCGCAAGCATATTCATCTCATCTCTCGCGTTGAACGAAGATCTCAGCCTACTCGACGACCGTAGATTGCTCCCAGGTAACTGCAGAGCAGGCACATTCGGCTGCGGCCAGGCCATCGACGGCGACATCCCGTTACCCCCCGAGGACGGCGAGAGCGGAGACATGGCTGAAACACCTGACGGAGAGCCCGGTAAAAGACTCAAAGCCGCAGCGAAATCAGCCGCGTTCGACCGAGGCGAAAGAACAGCCGAGCCTGTCGACTCGTACAACGGCCTAAGCTCCTCAGGTATATGCGCAAAGAAACACACACGGCGCGCACAACCTGTCCCATCTTTACATAGCCTTGTACGGTACTGAGCCGGATGAAGCCAGCATTCGAAAACCCCGTGCGCGAACTCGCACATATCTCCCCTTCTACAAGCTCCTTTCCGAAAATCCGGACACGGAACACAGCTGTAATGGTACTTCCTCGGATCTCTCCTCCTCGCGTTCTCCCCCGGGTGAACGAAAGGACACTCCGTCCAGTCATGCGAGTAAGCCCGCGAGCACGGCCTGACTTTAAAGGAATACATCCTAAACTCATCAGTAGAGTAGATACTGTTCTTGATATCAGGCAAAGACGGATCAACCGGATACTCTTTCTTAAACTCCATAGACGATTTCATCTTAAACGGAGACTCACCATCACCACCACAATCCTCTTCAGTAGGAGAATGAGACCTGCTCCTAACATTCGTCACAACCCTCAAGTTCCTCTCGGCGGTAGCAGCAGAGAGAAGCTCCTGAAGCATCAGCTTCACACCTTCAAGCTTAGGAGGGACAACGATAACATCACCAGCTCTTTGACCATCAGCATCAACTCGATTCAGATCAGCTCCAGCGGAGAGAAGCAGCTTCACGACCTGTACAGCGTTCACAGCTCCTCCAGAGGCGGCGCAGTGTAAGGCCGTGGTCTGATCGCTCCCGCAAGCTCGGTTCACGTCGGTTAAAGAGAGGATAAGCTTGATCACGTCGATGCTTCCGTAAGTAGCGGCAACCATCAAGGGGGTCCTGTGATCGTTGACCATGGTTTTGGATCCTTTTTGACGACCGTACCAGAGACCAGGCTCGTCTACACAAGAAGGGTCTCTGTCGATGGATAGTCTTACGCCTTCTACATCGTTGTTAGCTGCGAGCTCAAGGAGGCTAGCGAAGGTGTCCTCTGTTTCGACTCTCAAGTGATTCATAGTCTCTGTGTTGTTGTTGGTGGTGGTATCTTCTGAAGATGAGTTCTGGTTTAATTGGTCTGATGATGATCCACAGCACATCTGGTGGAAAATCGGATTCCTGCATCATCATCATAATCAAAAAGGAATAAATAACGATTTTTCCAGATCGAAATAATCGAAAATCTAATTTTCAGACAAGAAGGTGAGTTCTTGTCTGAAACAAAAAAAAAAAAACATGTCTTAACGTAATCTCAAAACTCAACCAGTAAGTCAAATAGATTTCAAAGGAGAATCTAATATTTGTATAAACGCTACTTCCAAAAATAGAACTGACACGCGCGGAGAAAAAAAAAATCTAAATCTTAAAAATCAGATTTGTTCTTCTTACAGGAACATCAAAGTCAAATAGACAAAAGAGAAAGAGAAGAGAAAAAAACACAACTGGATCTTGATTGCATGTTTTACTTAAAGATAACGATCTTTTCGATTACCATCAACAAGTTTCTCACCTTTGATTTTTCTCGATTTAAAACAAGTTTCAATAGAACACAAGCAGACACATCTTGCCGGAGACTTTTGGATGGTTTTAGCAGAAAAAAAAATCAGGTAGATCTAGAAAAATAAAAGAGTGTTATCGAGCAAGTGAAAGAGAAGGAGACAATTATTTTTTCCCGAGAAAATCTGGGATTTAAATAAAAAGAATCTGGTGAAGTGATTTTTTTTTAGAGAGAAGGAGAAATGGTGAGAGCTTGTTCTTCTACCATCTCCATGTCTCAAAGCTCAGATCTCTAGGAAAAGTATTTACATCCAATTTAAATATATTTTAAAACATTATTTTTGACATATCATTATCAGTTAATATTATTTATATTAAATATCGCTATCCAATAGAAGAAAGATTTAAAAAAACATATTTTTATTCTAACCTCTATCCGTCTTACGCATTTTAAATCAGCTCAACCAATAGAAACGGTCCACGTCATAACTAAATAGAAGAATTTGAGGATAAAACAGTCATTTAAAAATTCTAAAAGCTGAGCTGGCAGAGATTGATTGGAAGTTGACACGTATGTATCCTCTTAAGCTTTTGTCCTCTTTGTCCTTTGGGGTCAAATTATGCAGTAATTACATTTAATACAATTTCCTAAATAAAGATGTAGCAATCTAGTGTGTCAAGTTACATTGTATTAAAGTTTATTCTGATACGTGGCATCACGTGTGTGGCTTACAGAAATCTCTAGACGCTCTGCTTTCTCCAGATTATCCTTAGAGAAACGTTGTAATAAGTCAATTATACCCCTTTGATCTTTGTTTGAGGCGACACGTGGACTAAAAGCATTGAGCAGTGAGAACAATAAGACACGGACGGTGAGGCAGGTGGTACGGACGGCGAGTGGGATGGAGAAAGAAAACCGGTGGAACCGGTTGCCTGTGACGGCGTAACTGAGAGGATTATTAAAACAATTTGAAGAAGGGTAACTGGCGTCCACTAAGCGTACGGGGAGTGGACTCGACACATTTAGTTTAATTTCAGTTAATTGTAAGAATCAAATCATAAACCAAGAGATAAATAAAACTGGGTCCAATGTGTAAATAGAACTTTTTAAAACTAAAAAGCAATTAAGAAAACTGCACTTAAATTTCCATAAACAAATTAGGTAAAAGAAGGAACGAGAGTTATATCGCATTATATGGTAATATTTCCTACTATAACCAATAACATTTTTAGTTCCACCCTTCTTAACACTAGTTATCAGTTATCAATTAGTGTCTAGCTGACGTTGTAATGCTGAAAAATATTCATCAAGCTGGGAAAATTATCACTGAACTGTTTAAAAATTGTAGTTTTAATGATCAGATATAATTCTAAAAAACCACAAAATTGTATGTCTCACCACTTCAAATATTTCTAAACAGACACCAAAAACTTTGCATCTGTGTATAGACTTCAATATTACAAGGGTAAAGTCAGATAAATAACAAGTAATATTGAATATGGATAGTTCGAATATCAAATATTACTATCCAAATATTTTTGTAAAAAACAAAATATTTTTTTTTGCCAAAATTTATTAACTGTTCATAATTATGATTTGATTTGAATTATTTAGGTGTTGTCGTTGAGCGTGATGTACGTAAGTATTATAGTAGTTGTATTTATGAGAAAACTTGTTTTAATAAAAATGAGATGTTTCATATATATTCGTAGTCTTGAATAATTGATGTGCAGCTAATTTTATTATCAGTTTTTTTAAACATCAATTTTATTATCAGTTGTAGTTTTACCAGAACTTCTACTTTGTTCTGATTGTCTATTTCCTAACCAGAAGAAAAAGAACAATAATGGTTACTCATACATAATTATTGATCGAGTATTGACCTCCTCATTCCGTGGGGAAAAAACCCTAACTCTCCCTACTTATCATTATTAGTGATGATAATTCGTCACCAATACTCAATGGTGCTGCATCCACTAATGTACTCCTCCAATTGTAAAAATAAGAAAAGCATTATATTCATGCACGATATAACTTTTAGATCATGTGGATAAACAAGACAATGTAGAACAAGTCCGACATCAAATTAAGACCAATCATCACATTCATATGTGGTTGTTAATCCTAGAAAATAAATTAACATTGTGGATTTTCTCATGAGTAGCGATCAGCAATGTGAAAAATTTAAGACCACCAATTGATAAAAGTAAGAATAACAAATGACACGTGTGTAAAGACAAAGGCGTGTGAGAGTAGTAGCAATAATGGAAGGGGCCCGAGTGACCGAACTTGTGAGTGTGTTTGCTTTGTGGTGTTTTGTCTGCGTCTCTCCCTCTCTTTTATTTGCTTTCCACGTGAATACTTACCATACTCTAATCTCTTGTTGCATCCACAGGGCGCAACTTCTTCCAACTCTCTTATAGCTTACATGCATTGATCATCTTTGGTTAGTATCTCTCTAACATTTTGCAATGCAATGAAATTCGAGCTGTTGGTTTGTACTTTCATATAATCATATATTTTGTGTTATAGTGATAGGGCATACAAAACTGCATAATTATTTAATGAGAACTTGCTACGATCTCTAACGCGTTTTCTTAAAAGCCAAGAATAGGAGGTGACATCTCCTATTATGTACTTATTAGACAAAAGTACATCGTCGGTAGTGTCCTATATGGACTCCAAACAGAAAAAAATATCGTAGGAGGCAATACATAATGGCATATGTTTTGTTACATCGTAAGCATTTATAACTAAGTGGCATGTCGGTGATATACGAGAACAATTTTATTGCGAATCTAGTCTAAATAAATAATGAAATGTGAAGAAAAATATATATTTGAATAATTCTTTCATCTTCAGTTAGGTCTGAGATAATTTTTTATAATTAGTTGTATCGAATTAGTACTCCATAATATACAGGTAGAACTTAACTTATGATTTATATAAAAGTTTATATCATTTATTTCAGTAATTTTACATTTACATGTGGCAAGAAAAAAGAGAGAGACAAACGTCAAGAGAGGGCATATGGTGAGATGTCTACAAAATGGAGATATGTTTTGTTTTCGTTAAGCTTTGGTGGGAGCACATAAACCAAACAATTAAAAAAGTTTAGCATATCAATTCACTCTAATAATCTGATCCAAAAAGCCTCTTGTACTATCCGTTCTGAGAATAATAGTTTATATTATTAATTAATGCTTAGAAGAATCATTATAAAAAATTGTTAAAGATACCAGTTAATTACCACTTTCAAAAATATTATTAATAAAAAAATATATTAACATTTAAATTTAAATTTTAGTAATTATTGTTTAGGATTTAGTATTAAAAAGTTGCGATTAGATTTATAAACAGTTCTATAAATATTTAGAAAATTAATTTAATATTATTTTATCCCAATTTAAGATATTTATGAAAATAATTATTTATTAATGGTAAATTTGAAAAAATGATAATAAATTTGTGGTAGAATTAAATTTCCCCAATCATTATCTTAATAAAAATAATAAAATTATTTAACAATTAATGGACTACGAACCTTAATATTTAAAACACACATCAGAAATCTGGAGAAGACATAAATAATATATCAAAAATTTGGCCAGTAATGAATTAATTTTAAATCAGAAATTCACAATTCTCAACAGTTA